TCCCTTTGGTCTTCCTGGGATTATACAACCACACATTTTACTTCTGGTACAAAGCTGACTTCAGTAGATCTCTTATCATAACATAGCTTCATGGAATCAGCAGACTTTTCCAAGTTTAAATGCACTTGATGGTGAATATAATCCACCCTTTCACCTAACACTTTCACGAACTTTGGCACATTATCAGGCAACTCTTCGTAAGCTGGGCGTCCTGTGGCTTCCAGTGGCTTCATGCTATGCTGTTCTATAGGCCATCAGCAGTGGAGGGAGTAAGACATCCCAGTCATATTGGCGGCTATTACAAAACTTTGCCAATTCCTGTCCCAGTGTTCAATTGTACTTTTCTACCATCTCATCAGACTGTGGGTGAAGTGGCATTGTCCTTGTCTTTCGTATGCCAAACAACTTGCAGCATTCATGGAACACAGCTAATTCAAAGTTACAGCCTTGATCCGAATGCAATTCGTATGGCATACCAAACCTGAAGAAGAAATCACTTATAGCCAAAGCTACAGTTGCAGCTTCCTGATTTGGTATTGCATATGCCTCAGGCCACTTGGTGAAATAATCCATCATCACACAAGTGTACCTGTTTCCAGCAAGAGTTTGGGGCGAAGGACCAGCAATGTCAACGGCTATCTTTCCATTGGTGCGCCAACTTGATATAACTTCATTGAGGCACGTTCCTTATGCTTGGGTCCCCTTTTACCACAACATGTACTGCAGATCCTGCCCCATTCTTCCACATCTTACCTATCCAGTAAAATCTCTGTCGTAGGTGACTCAATGTCTTCTTAACTCCTATTAAAGATGTCCTCCTATTAAACTATCATGGGATTAATGCAACACAACTTCCCGTAATTCCCTCAGCATAACTGTTTGCCAGGTCATGACTTTCCCATCTCCAGAGAAGAATACCATCTTCAAGCTTCAACTGGTCCCATTGTGCCCAATAGTTCTTTGTCACAGGGCTTAAGCTAGACACCTTCTCCCAAGCAGGGCGCAAAACACTTGCTCGTAGAAAATCAATTATTGGCTTCAAATCCTGGTCTTTCTCCTGCTCTGCTTTAATATCTATACTTGGTTCTACTTCACCATCACCAACTCCTTCAGTCACTTTGATTTCAGCTTGATGGCACCTGGTTAGTCCATCCTCTTTGTTAACACTTACCGGAATTTGGCCTTTGTTGTTCCCAAACACCATTTTATCAACATTAACTATTCACTTCCTCGGTAGTAAGTAGTCCAACCCTAATATGTATTGGTCTTCAATGTCAGCCAAGCATACTTTGTGTCTATCCTTCATGCCCATGAGCTCAATAGTTACCCACACTGGTCCCCACATCCTTGCAGAATGTCCTGTCACACCACAGAGCTTCTGTATGGCTTCTGGTACTCCTTTGTGATCCAGTGCCTTGATACTCATAAGGGTTTGCTGAGATGCAGAATCTATGACAAAGTTGCACCTTTGGCCATCCAGCTTCCCTGTCACGTAGACACTATGTATGCTTGGCATTTTACACTTAGCTGTTGGGACTTTCATGATAAGGGTTGGTGGGCATCCCTCAGCACCAACCACTACTGGTTTCCCCGAGGCTGACTTATTGGTAGTATTCTTCTTACACTGGCTTCTCATCTGTCATTGCTCTCCACAGTTCCAACAACCTTTCTGGGTAGCAGCCTTTCCTGTTATGGCATCTACCCTGTGTTGAAGTTGCTGGCATTGATTTCTCTTGTGCCCAGGTTTGTTACAGTGCCAGCAAAGTCCCTCAAACTTCTCTGAAAGCTGACCTTTTCTGGCCTTGAATCCAGATGACTGTACCAACCTCGGTACCTCTGTTCTGAACTTAACATAGGATTCCAATTCTAGAGCTCTGACCATTGCATCCTGCGTAGTAGAGGGATGTGCTTGCTTTACGTGTATCATCATGAAGACATTGGGTGATGCAGATGGGTAGGCCTTGTGTGCCATACTTTCCAAATCCTGTGCCAGCTCTTGCAGGCTCTCCCCTTTAGCACGGACTCTCGTCCTAAACCTAGCCCTGTAAGCATTGGACTGATTTTTGAGTTCTATATCTGAGTTCTAGAGCAGCTACCAGTGCTCTATAGTTGTGCTTGTCGTCTGCTGACAACTGTCCAAGTATTTCCAGTGGTTGTCCCTTCATGCTCGTTGCCAAGTGCACTGCTTTATGCTCCTCTGTCCATCCATTCATTTCTACCAGGAGCTCAAAGTGTGCTCTATATGCTTCCCATCGAATTCCTGTGGTTTTCTTAGTACTAGATCACCTCTGTTGCTGACACTCATGTCTGAAATGTGATTTCTGGCAGAACTGAAGAGGTCTGCATTAGGGTTTAGCTGCAGGGTGTGGAAGGGCTTCCTGTTGTCTGAGACTGATTAGGCCTACGGTTAATATATCCTCCCTGTGTAAAAGACGTCCTTTAATGTATTTAATTCACTTTGAAATTTACTAATCTTTTCTATTTGTATATGTTGGCTTTCTCTCAGCTATTGGAGACTTTCTTCTTTTTATTTTCTTTCTCCTCCAACCTCTGCTGTAGTCTCCATTCTTGTTTATTTTCTCGTTCTTCTTGTTTCCTTTCTTTTTCCTCCAACAACTATTGTAATCTCTCTCTTCTTGTTTATTTTCTCGTTCTTCTTGTTTCTTTTCTTTTTCCTCCAACAACTGCTGTAATCTCTCTTGTTTATTTTACTGTTCGAGCTGCCACTGTTGCAGGTTTTCTTGCCACTGCTATTGTCTCTCTTCTTGTTTCTTTTTTTTTCCTCCAAAAACTGCTGTAATCTCTTTTCTTGTTTATTTTGCTGTTCGAGCTACCACTGTTGCAGGTTTTCTTGTCACTGCTGTTTTTGTCTCTCTTCTTGTTTCTTTTCTCGTTCTTCTTGCTTCTTTTGCTGTTCTTGTATTACTGCCATCAAATCTGCTAAGCTGTAGTTTGATTTGCTACTTTTCATTTCCATCTTCTTTTTTTTCCATCCCACTCTCTGACACCAATTTGTTATGTATCTGCTCGTTTGTTAATTTCTGGTATAAATTCTTTCCGATGAACTTCAGCGATACAAGTCCTTTCTTAATTAAAACTAGCTTATTCTTTCTTGGTACAACTTTTTAGTACACAGAATTTCCATAGTCCCTTTAAACTTAACAACCTTTATAACACACGCAATAAATCATAGGGATTCACACACTTTACTTACGGTGCCTACTGTTCGCTTGACTCAATCATCTATCTCTTCAATCTATCTATATCTCTTCAAAAATCGCGTTGGTTTTTCTCGCCAGGCTTTTATATTAAAAAAGAGGGCGCCTCGAACAAACTAGAGTTGCCAGAAAAATTCATGATCCTTCGAGAAACTCCAGCGCGCATGCTCCCAGCGTCGCGTGACTTCCACTGTCGTAACACAAGATTAACTTAATGAGTTTCTCATTCATTCGTTATGTGAAACCCGCTGATATTACGAACGAAGAATAAATTCGTAATAAATTTATTATACTAAAATAAGAGAGAAACATATAGTACTTTCGTTACTTGTACCGAAGTTTCTTGTATTACCCATTCAAGCCGTCTCCAAACTTCATTTCTCAAAAGTGGGTTCCTTGCCATCGAAAATGGTATATTCATAAACCACAGTATCTACTTTACCCGTAGGGATATTACCGTAACTTTGTACTTTGTTTAGAATACGTCAACTACAGCAATGCCCTTCATTAGCGAAGTAGATAATATTTATGTTACATCCTTAACGACGCTGTAAGTGAACGATCAGTCAAAGGGAAATGGACGTCGTTCAAGACAAATCCAATGTTTTCTGCTAGAACTGAGTGTTGGGTTTACACCAGAAAGAAGAAAGCTATTGGCTGATTTATTGATCCTGTAGAAGGCAGCTGACTGTTTATGCATTTACGCACAGTGTGTTTTTGCTTTCCAAATAATAAAGGTTGTGTTTCACTCAACATTGCGTATCCAGTCTCTTTATTTTCTTAGCTTAAACTCAGATACTTCACAATTTTTCTGATCGATTCTTCCATTACAAAGCAGGCCAATATAAAAAATATATATACTCGTGTGGAAATGAGTTTAATATAACAATACTACAAATATATATCACATAATAGTCCCGAAATGTGATTTAATTATCGTTTTAAAGGACATACATATTTTCCCCCAGATGATGATCCTTTATCGAATGTACTTGGCTTCTACGTAATTTCATTAACTCCGACTTTCCTTATGTGTACGCATCCTGTACCTGTGATATCACAAGCTCACAAGAATAGTCCGACGTAATGTGTTATTTACGTACTAACGTAGCTACTGATTACACAATCAGTATATACTCTACAGTTGCAATAAAATATTTTGGCACTTTTATGAAATAGTAAATATATTAGTATTATAGGATTGGTATTATGTTATTGTTTGCTAAACTAGTTTTTTTTTGTTAAGTGCAAAACTATACAATAGGCTACCTTTGCTGCCGTTACTGCTATTATCGAAACTCGAATTTTAGCGTTATAAGTCTCAGACTTACCATTGAGCTCTTGATGAACTTGACGAATAAAATAAATTATTTATGGCGTTACAACGGCTAATTACCATTAACAGAGAATTTTAATATGTCGTTTCTGTTGGGAGAAGCGAATTGTAACACACATGAAATGAAACATAATTATATTTAAATAATAATTAATTAAGCTATGCATTTCCCACCGGTTTATGGCTTTAATTAATTTATTCAAGTTAATTAGGTCCTAGTTTACATACAAAAAAAGGAAGCGGTTCCTTTTTCTCCAATTCAAGAATTTAAAATGCTCCTATTAACCTTTGACCTAAAAAATTATCTAAAAAACAACGAAGGCATCCGGCCTGGTCGTCATTAATATATATCAAATATGCTATTTAGAATGGTTGCCAGCTTGCTTGTACAAAAAAATACCATCAATATTTTTTTAGGCGTCCTACAGTAATTAATTGGCCGTTATTAACCTCAGTAACATTCAGCTTCTGAGATCAAGAGTTATTTCCCTGTTTCGTATATGGGTGGAGTTATTTCCCTGTTTCGTATATTGGTGGAGTTATTTCCCTGTTTCGTATACACTGAGAGTGAAGTCATCATTATATAAAGCGTTAAATCTTGCTAGTGATTGCTTAATCAGAAAAGAGAGGTTTGTTGTGAAGGTGTGTGTAACTGATAGTAATACTGTTTAAATACCTTAGGTCTAATTGTCATTGATATATTATTTTTTCAGTATTTTTTCAACTAATTCAGCAACTGAGACGAGGTAAGTTTCGCTTTAAATTTCTTTTAGTTTAATATTTTATTGAATTTGTGTTCATGTCATTAGGTTGATTGACCATGACATGAATTATTGATGTAATGATTCGTTGATAGTGATATTGATACTTTTAGTTTTACTAATACTGAGTAATAGTATTATCCAAGCTTAAGTTAAGGTAAGCCATAAATAAACTGATAAAGTGCGAGTGTGACGACAGACTATGTTTAGTTCTAGCCTAAGCGAAAGTAAATAACTTAATAAGAAGATACTTTATGAGTTTAAGACTTAAGTTTAAAATATGTTTGAAAATATCAACTTCGAGTCAAGGCTTAAATAAGGCCTGGGTGCTTAATCAAATGTTTAATGTTATTGTTAGAATCTAACTTTAAGTATGTCACATCAGTAAAATGTGTATCACTGTCAGTACCATTTGTAGCTGAGACAAGCTTGTAATGTAAGTTCTAAGCCTGTTCTAATTTTTATATCATTCACGATTTTATTTGTAAACTGTAATGACAAAGGCTATACCTATGGATGATGAGTGTATTTATTGATTAAAAATAAAATGATATACAGTTATAAATTAGGAAATGTTAAACATCTACTTGATGACATTAGCGTGGGTTGTGTATCTGAATTTTGTTACATACTGGCAATATGTGACAATACATTAAACTGTTTAGAAATTAAAATGAAGTACTTTTTAGTATATTATAGGTGTAATGAATGTATTCAAGAACATTTGAAAGCCAAACAAAAATGGGGGTATCATGGTCAAAAAAGGTAATTATCTATTTAACAAGTCACTAGTTAGATCTCTCGGCATACTGTGTACAGTTTGTTTTTTCATAGAAAAGATAACGAGTTATTGGAAGGGGTTCAGAAGAGGGCTACTAGTGTTAAAATGATGATAGTGGGGATAGTTTAAGACCTCTTAGCTTATACCTCTTTTTTTTTTTTTTTAAGAGAAAACAGGAGTTGGAAAAGACCTTCCTATCATTCCTTGTGCCTTGGAAAGGGTCTGGTATCAATGTCTATAAATGATTTGTTTATAGACAAAAGCAAAGTATCAGAACCTTGATAAAATAATCCAATTTCATTGGTAGATTGGAAGTAATTATCTTAGACATTGAAAATACTGCTAATCATGAAGCTCTACTTAAAGTTGTGTTGACATATTTTAAGTTAGATTTCAGCTTGAAACCTGTACAGAAATTATGTATGAAATACTTATTGCTTGGTAAAATTTTTTTTGCTGTGACTTGTGGGGTGGGAAGAAACTTTTAAGCATGTTTTTGCTGAAGTTACTGTGAGAAGTTCAAAACACTCCAAAGGGTGCAACAGAAGGTGAAAAAGAAAGTTGGTATAAGCCTTTCATCCACTGTGGTTGTTATCTTGCCATTGGTATCACTGACGATTGATCATCATGTCAGTATTGGCAGTTTTGTTGTTGACTGTGCGTATATTGCTGAAATTTAAGTAAAAAAGCAAGGTAAAGGTATGGTGTTTAGATTTTATTATATACTATAGTGTAGGTCAAGTGAAAACTTAAATTTTATTAGTTAATGCTTAAAGATGTTAGTTATCATCCTAGTCTTTAGAATATACATAACTTGCTAGAAAAATGTCTTCAGATATTTTTGAAAGAATAATTTAAGTTAGCAATAATGGAAATGGTGGAGTGGACCTACTCTACGAGTCCTAAATGTTTCTTTCAGAAATCAAAGGATTGGGAGAAGTAGCATACCTATTTTAATATTTTTAATGATGGGTCCAGAGAATTTTATTAGCGAGTATAGAGTCATTGTTAACACAGTCTTATTAATTATAGTATTTTGGCACTTGTGTCTAAAGTTAAAATCATAAATAATATTCAACGTTAAACTGGTACACAATTAAAAAGATTTTATTTAGGTCTATCTATGGCCGTCAAAAAGATGACGACTCTATATGTTTCGACATTACAACGTCATCCTCAGGAGTGAGTTATAAGGTAATTGCCAAAGTATTTATAACTTGTTAGTAGGTCATTGACCTGTATGTTATTTTTCATAC